CACGACTCAACCCGCGAACGTGGGCTTGTCTTCAACACATTTCTTTCAATTCTGAGTCAAAAGCTCCAAACGACCACCCAGGCAGAGCCATTATTATGGTTATTACCTCGAGTGTAATAGCCGTAATAATACGCGGCGTCTGCTTTACAGTGGACGGTAAAGACTCGCCTACGTCATTCGCTCGAGTAGGCCATTGTGTTCTGGAGGTGGTCAGGGTCCAAATTGGCCAAATTAGAAAATTGCCCGCTAATGACTCAATTGGCAGTGTAACACACAGCGGCCGCATTCATCAACCCCCCTTACTGGCAGACTCGTGCCCCCAAGTCACTCGTGCAAACGAGACTCATCCTGATCTCGTGAGTTCTCACCTGGTTAAACAAAATCAACTTGAAACTTGAAATGGGCCCTTGAGTCTGACCTGGACTCGGCCTAAAATAAGCTAAGTTGACTCAGATGAGGCCAACAGACTAGTGCTCTACAAAATCTACTTATAACCTGCTGTGACCTTTTTTCCCCTACAAATCTCAAACAATTGAAGGGGGGTGGGGGGTCATTGAGGCCTACGGCTTAAATTCACTTCAGTCTTTTCATTTGTAAAATTCTCCACCTGTCCAACGGAAATGGGCACACGCAGCCGTCAGCGAGAGAAAGAGAGAGGTGACGGTTTTGAAATAGACATTAGCACGTCTTTGGTGACATCACAGGCGATGTACAAACAGGGATTAGCACACCGACTGTCATTGTTGTGAGCGCCTTGGGGGGGGGGGGTGGTGGGGGAGGCCTTGGTCATGAATTCACAAATACAATCAACAACGAAAAGTTGTTGGGCAAACTGTTGTTTTTTCCTTCACGCAATCCCGGAACTTGTATATTTAACAATGAGTCAATGGGTCAGTTACGTGATCATCACATTAGACAACTGTTAAGGGGCCGATGTGTGACGAGGGGGGGGGGGTGAGAAATGTGACGTCACATCAAATTGCGCAACTTTAAATAAATATAGACAACACGTTCTACTTAATTAAATAGACTTTTTATTAAATGTTTTCTCCGACAACATCAGAGTGCAGCGCCACATTAAATACGCACTACTATGACAATAGTTTAAAGCGATTTGAAGAATGTTTTATTTTATTTGGGGGGGGGGGGGCAGAGCTTTGTGACGTCATATTTGACGGGTGGTCTGACTTATTGTGACGCCGTGTGACGAGGGGAGGGGGGGTCAAAAATCGTCCAAAATCGCGTGACGTCATTTATGGGCGGCCCCTACCTAACCCGGTTAAACTCTCGTGCACATAACAGGAATATATGTTTGACGCCATATAACAAAAATTATGTTCAAAAGTTAAACGTTTGCGGACGGTTTCCATTGATTGGCAGTTGCCAGTGAAGTTAGCAGCACGAAAAATAAAATGTTATCAATTTGACGGGATGTGTTTAACCAAGAAGGCTAAACGATAATCTTATCTTCACCTAAGAACACAGACCTATGGACTACTGTATTGAGTAGGGGAACACCATTTATTTTTTTTAGTACGATGTACTTCAGTGGATTACCGCAGTCGGAATAATACATTTACTTTCTCGGTAAAATTAACCGGGAAATGATATAAAAAAAAACTATTTTACTTAATATTTTCTTAATTAATGTAACCTCTTGTACGTGATGTGCATGTGGAGGGAGGGCTTTGTGTAACTGCTGTCGTTGAGACAGACTCGGTCACAGCTTTTGAAATGGCAACAGTTGGCATGGATTATTAACACGAGAAACAACTCCTGTGGTATCACAAGGGCCTACGGCATCAGGGTGATCATTCCTTTGATGATGCAGTTTATCAGGAACAATTGATATAATTTAACTCGGGAACAATTGACATATTATCTCGGGAACAATTGATAATTATTTTACTCGATGAAAAGCAGTGTTCTAAACTAATTTTCATGGGGACGGTGGGGGGCATTTTCGCCAATAAGACATCATCAGTGTCAGGGCTGCCACACATGTGAAACCATTCGAGTTTGACAGCCTACGATGATGATGGGGGGGGGGGGGTGTCACGTGTTGTGTCTTGTCGGGGGGGGGCACCAGGGGCTGCCAGTGACCCGCGGGCCTTGCAATGAGGTCAACTTCTGTGAACTGTCATTGTGGCAGTGGCATCGTGGATGAGGGCACTAGCAGTATGAGTTGTTGTCTTGTTGTTGTTATTGTTTGACTTGCATCCCATGGCGATTTTTGCACACAGCGTTGGTGTGCGGTGTTTTTTTCTGCAATATTTTGCTGTCTTTTCTTGGATTTTCCGTTTACACTTAGTCACATATTCACTTTAAGATGTTTTCTTGTTCATGTTTTTGTTTTTTTGTTTGTTGCGGTTGCTCCCGATTCAAGAGCCGAATGGCTCACGGGGCTATACCTAATAAATGAACTTGAACTTGAGTTCTATTCCCAAACCACGAGCTAACACCAGTGGCGAGTCGTTTCTGAACCAGTCCTAAAGGCTATCCTTCGCCGATCCACACTGACCAGAATGGTGAAGTATGGTCAAACTACCATCACTACTGAACTTGGGGTGCGGGGGCGTTGTTCATCATCGTTCTTAGTTTATGCGTAGACTCGCGTCCTCTGAAAAGATTGACACTTTATCTACAAGTGTCCATTGGTGACAAACCCCAGTGTAGCATTCGGTCTCCAACAGCAAGGTAATCTCCCTGCTCTCGCTCGATGCTCTGATGAAGGGCCGTTACCCGAAACGTCAGCCAATATGCGTCATTATATATTAATTTGTCTGTTGTAAGGCAGCGCTCATGACCAATGTGGTTCAGGTATTTGTGTGTGTGCGTCAACACTCGACCAAAGGATAAAGGTGCGGCCCTGCAATTACTTGTTCACGGAAGAGCCTCCGTTAGAAGGGAGCTCTTGAGATCACCTCCCCTCCCCCCTCTCTCTCTCTCGAGGGTATTCGGCCTACTCTTCCACGCTGAAGAGACGTCTTGGAAGAAGTGGGAGTACCCACGCTTTACCCCACCACACACGCCCCCTTTCTTTTTTAAATCCTTTATATTAAGTTCACTTGCTTGCTTGCTTGCGCGCTTACGACCGTGCAAATCTTTCGGTCGTTTTTAACCCACTTCCCGTGATCCAATCGAGCTGAAATTTTGCACACAGACTCGTTGTGCGTGACAATTTATTTTCGTGAAAAAAAATTCCCAAATTTTCCACTTTTTAGGAAAAAAAATATATTTAGTTTAAAATACCAATGTGATAAAAATGAAACTCTTACTCAAGAAAAACAGAAATGAATAATAAAATAAAACCGATGCCACGCATATAAAGGATTTATAGTGAAAAACTTTGTTTTTACGGGTTAATTTTTGTTTTGTTCCAAATGCGTGGACAGTGGAAGCGGTGGCGGGTGGGAGCAAGAGACGGAGAGACAGAAGCGATTGGCAACCGTCGCTTCAACTTCCGAGCCGGGAGATAGGGACCGTCCCTAAATGACGTCACGCGATTTTGGACGATTTTTGACCCCCCCCCCACGCCCCCTCCTCGTCACACAGCGTCACAAAAAGTCAGACCCCCTCCTCCTCAAATATGACGTCACAGAGCTCTGCACCCCCCCGCCCCCCCAAAAACCATATTTCCATTTTGAAAATAAAACATGCTTCAAATGGCTTTAAACTATTGGCATTGTAGTGCGTATTTAATGTGGCGCTGCACACTGATGTTGTAGGAGAAAACATTTATTACAAATGTCTAACTCCCCCCCTCCCCTAGGTGCGTGACGTCATTTATGGACGACCCCATAGACGTAATGGAACCTGCTCTCCTCTGTATCGCGAGCGCAAGTGTGCGAACGACCATGGGGCAACCACGGGTTTGGGCAGCAAGCCTTGTGCTTCCCGATCGCTCGCGAAGCCGGATTTATCGGGGAGCTTGGGGGGTGTGACGGGTGCGTGCATCACAGAAGAGAGCCTGTGGCGCACCGGCGTTAGTTATTTAACGGGAACAACGGGGCCGGTGATTCAGGAGGCTTATCGTGGTCAACGTGGCACGCGGAAAAGGGGCCGTTCACTGCGCCACGTGTGTTTCTGCTCACGCCGAAGGCTGCGGACGGGAGCGAGTGGGGGTGGGTGGTTGGGTCCAGGGAGGGGAGGGGATGGAAAAGGACTGCGTGCGATGGGGGAGCGGCAGTTGTAGTGGTTAGCGCAGCCAACCCCCACCCCCCCTCCCCATTGCGCCTATTGAACCCGACGAACCGAGTTCGATTCCCGCTCTCGGTCACCAACACCAGCGGGCGATTGCGTGAACCGGGCCCTGGGCATCCCCTTAGGTCGACTCAGCCTTCAAACGAGTACCTGGTGCGGTGTGTAAACATCGTGACTACTGGGGAGACAAAGGCGGCCGGGCGTGGTGCTGGCCAACCCAATCCCGCTCGTGTACCGTTCAGGCCTTCATAGGTGCTTCGCTAACATCATTTGCCGTAACATTCTGGTAAATGCTATACGAGGGAGGGATGGGAGGGGAAGGAGGAGAGGGGAGGGAGGGATGGAAGGGAGGATTTGAGGGAGGGAGGGAGGGTAGGGAGGGGAGGGAGGGGAGGAGGGAGGAAAGGGAGGGAGGGGAGGAGACGGAGGGAGGAGAGGGGAGGGAGGGAGGAGAGGAAAGGGAGGGAGGGGAGGAGGGAGGAAAGGGAGGGAGGACTTGGAGGGAGGGAGGGGAGGAGACGGAGGGAGGGGAGGGAGGAGAGGAGAGGGAGGGGAGGCTTTTAATGCGGGAGGGAACGTAAGAGAGAGAAAGCGGCTAGAGTGGGAGGGGAGTGAGGGAGGCCATGTGTGTGCGAGCGAGAGGGAGGGAGAGCTGGGAGAGGTTGCGTGTCGTCGTCGGAACACTCCACCGACCCCACCCCCTCTCGACCGGCTTGACGTCAGCTCGAGTGGAAAGCACCACCACCCACCCACCCATCCTCCTCCTCCTCTCTCCTCCCCCCTCTCTCTCTCTCCGTGCTCATGTTGTAGCCGCGCAGTCTCCCCTCGGCTCATTCATTGACGGATCGCGTCTTGCCACGACGTCTGCGCTGCTGCTGCTGCTGTTTGACTCGCTCCTCCTCCTACATCAGACGCGCAAGACACCAACAGGGGGAACCACGCCACCGACTCGCATAGCAAAGCGGCTTGCTTCTTAATTTTTATTTTTAAACTTACTGCAGCGCAGATATAAATACATCCCCTCCGCCTAGAAATACACCTTCGCGCGACTCAGAAGTTGCGTCGTTAATGTCATTCGTGCCCATCATCGTATATTATTCATAGACGATACAGCGCTTGCCTGCGAAATTTGAGAGCTTGGAACCCACGCCGACTGCCTATAGCCAGTTTACCTAAGCAGAGTTGACAGCGATTGAAGACTCAACATCCTACGCTACAATAAAAAAAAAAGCCGACACGCAGAACACCGAAAAGACCTCGCAGATCTGCTCGCCACGAAGACGATGACGATCGAAAAGGAGAGCGGAGAAGGGCTTAGCTACTCCAAGATGCGAGGACTCTTTACCGTTATGACAGGTCAGTGTTGGTCATCCCTCTCTCATCATCTCTCTCTCATCATCTCTCGCTCATCATCTCTCTCTCATCATCTCTCTCATCATCTCTCTCATCATCTCTTGCTCATCATCTCTCTATCATCATCTCTCTCATCATCATCTCTCTCATCATCTCTCTATCTCTCATCATCTCTCTCATCACATGCGTCCAAGGATAAAAGATCGCACGCCCATTCCCACCCCGACCGTGTCGCCTGTAACAGACTTTCGGGGCAAGTTCTGTTCGCGATTCGCAAGCGCCTGTGATTGGGGGGTGGAGGTGGGAGATGGCTAGCACCACGCCCGGCCGCCTTTGTCTCCCACAGTAGCGATGTTTACAACACCGCACCTTATTGGGGAGGTGCAGGGTTACTCACTGGTGGTGTTAATCTCCGTGAGCGGGAATCGAACTCGGGAGTTATCGTAGCGCAGAGCGCGCTCACCGCTGCACTTTGCCAGATGCCGAGCAGACTTCACCACGCTGGGTTCACGATCTACCCGGGGGGTTATCATCTGTTCGCCACCGATGTGAGCCGTGACCACCTGCGATCCAAGCCTGGGGGTTGTCGGCGTTGGAGCGCGTAGGCCATGCGCACATCAGACAAATGTTTAAAAAAATATCGCGTTCTCTCTCTCTGAATTGTTACATATGGTCAGTATGCCTACGCATACTAACACGAATGCTATTTTCGCTTAATTGTAATCGGTGATTGTCAATAAGCAGCTCCGTCAAGAGAATGTGTAACGCATACAATATATACACGTGTGTGTGTACACGCGTGTGTATATTGTAAGTGCCCTATACGCACGCGCACACGTGTATCGTATGCATTCACGTGTCCCACGAGTATGCTACCGACACATACAGTGGCATCATATACGAATGCCTTGAATGTGCCACGTTGTACATTCTGTATCACGCGCCACAGAAGCATTACACACTTGGTTTAGCGTAGCAAGACTGCGGCTGCTGGGGTAACAGCTCTTACATGGAATACGGTAAAGGCAATCAGCCGGCCGGCACATTTTCAACATTGTGCAATGGAGTGAGCGTCGCATTGCCAACTCGGCAGGGTGATCGTATGGTGGTTGGTTGGTGGTGGTGTTGTCGTATGGAGGAGATGGAGGGAGATAGTCGTGGAAAATGATTGTAAGGGGTGGGTGGAGTGTGTGAGAGAGTCAAATAAAGGAATGATCGCTCCGTAAACCGCGCCACGGAATCGAACGCGAGCACCGTCCAGTTCATCCGCTGCGCTGTCTGCCTTGTCCCTCCGTGTCTAGAGGAGGAGGAGGAGGAGGGTGGTGGTAGGTGGACATGTATTTATTTACTTTCGTTTGCGAGCTCTCGAAAACCCGTGTCATCATCCCTCGGCTGAGAGGAACGCGAAGAGAATAAGAGTTGGGCACGAATATGACTGGCAGGCGTCGGGTTATCCGAGCAGAGATAGAGCTCGTCTCGGGAGCTAAGGTGTGAGCACGTTGTCGTCTGTGCCTGTCACAAACGGAGCGGCGGCGTAGCGCTGCTGCTGCTGCTACGAAATCCGCCGAGCTGAGTTCGATTCCGGCCAACGCCGCCTGTGTGAGGATCATCCACAGCTGTCAATCCCTGTACGGTTTATAGCCCCCGTGTGCTTGTTACAGGGACTTTGAGTTTTCAGGTCCACATGGCGTACAGCCGTTTCAATAGGGGCGAGGAAAAATGTGTCCTATTTGTTTGTGTTTCTCTCCCTTGTGATGGAACTTTGTAGGATGAACGTTGAGATGTATAAGGGGCACGGGGTGACCACTAAGGTCTGAATTGGTCTGTAATAATGTAGGATACTGATAAGGGGTTGACAGGTATGTCGTGGTGAGTGTACTAGTGGTGAGTATATGACTATATGTGTGTATCCCCCTTGTTATGGGACTTTGTAGGATGAACGTTGAGAATTGTAAGGGGCACGGGGTGACCAATACGGTCTGAATTTGTCTGTAACAAGGTAGGGCACTGATAAGGGGTTGAGAGGGATGGTTATCTGACTCGGTCCCGGTGCCTCCGCAGGTCAACTCAGCCTCAAATGAGTACCTGGTATGGTGATGTGTAAACATCGCCACTTGAAGCGTGGTGCTGGCCACCCACCCCCTCGTGTGCCGTGCCGTCCTTAGTAGGTGCTCATTAACAGCACTTGCCCCAAACAGTCTTTGAAGGCTAAATGTGGGAGCTTTGTCTTTGAAGTTCAACACAGGACATGTACGTGTCGCTTCGTGAATCAGTGGTTCTGTGTCCTGTCGAAAAAAGTCGAACTGTAGGTCACGTGTGGTGGCCAGCGTGGAAGAGTAGGCCAACTATCCTTCAGAAGGTCTCTCTAGAGGTCACTCGCTAGCAGTGGTGTGGGCAAGCAGTTGCATGGCCGCGCGTTTACAATTTCACTGCGCGGTACTAATCTATCATGCTCTATACATCCACGTTGCATTTGAATTGTATTGCTTTACTTACCTAAATGTAATATGCGCCGGTTGTGACTGTGATGGACTGTCATACATTGGTTATATCACGTGCATATACACTGTCTTGTACGTACATCATCTCATCCGCAGTGCACCGATGCATTTCCTAAATGCGTACGTCTGTTTGTGAGGGTTGGCTTCACCTAAAATGTACTAACTTGGTGCCTGTGAATGTCCTGTGATCTAATCAGGTAATTTCCCATTGACCTAGGTCTTTTAAAATCAAACCTTAAAATAATAATTCTAGATTTGAAGCTTTCGTGACTGCAAGGATTCATATTCTTAGGTTTTTTCGGTAAAATCACGTAGGTAAAACATTAAAATTAATAAAAAGCAAAATGAAATAAAAATCACGACGTTTCGGAGGCAACACAAGCTTCCGTCTTCAGGTGGAACCGTCACAGCCACGACAGCTGTATCAAGTAAATGAGAGATTGCAGGAGCTACCACTCCGTTTATATAAGGGCCAAGTACAGCACACTTTTTATTAATATGGTAAGGTGAGGCTTAAGAGGGTGAGCCTTTGTTGTTAAAATAATAATAGTAACTTACCCCCCCCCCCCTCTCTCTCTGTTTTCTCTCATCCCACAGCCTTTGTTAAGCAGCGGAGAAGTGGAATAAACGATCTCGTACAGAAGGTGGCGACCTCAAGTCCAATGTGTGATCCGTGAGTCTCACTGACGCTGCTGGTCCTCCTGCACACGCACCGTTTGACCTTTTGCCACGGCCACACCCTGCAGCTCCACGCCTACAACACGTGGCGAGCAGCGGGGGTGGCCACATGGTCCAAATGTTAAAGACGCGCAAGGCCAGCTTGGGTTCTGAGATCCTATGAGATTGGATGATTTAGCCGTAGGCTGTGCTAAAGGCTACGGTGTTAGGGGCAGGGCAAGGGTAAATGTTAGAGTTGAGACTGAATGTGGTGAGATCTAACGTTAGGGTGATGCTGAGTGATAGGATTAAATGTAAAGGTTAGTATTTGAATAATGCAGTGCAGTGCAATACTTTTTGAAGTTGGATCACTACTAGTCTTGTTTATTTTTCCATTACAGCTGCAACTCCTCGCTAATTCGTGTGCAGTGTTCACTGGGTGGTGGTTAGCAACTATTCAAGTGCGCAACAAACATTGAGATTCACGCGCGATTTGTGCCGTGCGTGTAGCATGTACGGCGGCGCACGTATCACTACTGCCAATGTAGGAAATTGGATAATCATCGAATTTAATTATTTGCACGCGTAACTTATAATCGGTTTTGTGGCTGTTTGCAGCTCCGGTTTTATATTTCAAACCATCAAGTGACACGTGATACGTGGCAGAGAGATGGATGGAGCTCAGCAGATGAACCGAATACCCAAAGTCAAACTCTGGTTGCTCATGCCACTTAGCTGTTACGGGGTGGGCAGGCAGGCAGGCATTATTACCCAGTAATTCTGAGTCACATAACAACTCTAAAACTAAACCTTTTTTTAATTTCACCAGGTAAGGCCCACAGAGCTATGTAGCTCTTTTTCAAAAGCGACCTGGCCACAAATGATAGCTCAACGAATTGACTCATCATGTGTACATTTATAGCAGCCAAACACTTGAAACACATGTTGATGCTAAATGTGGATGGGAAAACCCAGAGGAACCGAATAAAAATCCACGCGATGACAGTGGGGAGAACACGCAAACTCCAAATATACAGCAGCAGCGTCAGGGTCGGGAGCGAACCCACGACCTCCTGTATGCCAGGCGAGGTAGTTAACATCTCACCACCGTGGCGCCCCAAACTCGACCATCAGGTGCACTAAATGCGCTCGCCAGCATTCGGTACCATAGCGAGGGTGATACCGTAGCCATTGCATCTGGATTTGAAGCTTTCGTGACTGCAGGAATCCATACTCTTTGGTTCTTTCGGTAAGGTCAAGTATGTGAAAGAAAAAAAATCACGACTTTTGCGATCAAAACGTCGCGATATATTATTTTTTATTTTATTTTTTATTTTTCTACCTGCGTGACTTTACCGAAAGAACCAAAGAGTACGTAGCCATTGGATTCGCCAACAGACCCTTGGTGTCGCTGCGTGCGCTACGCGGGAAGCTGATTCACAATCTCTCTCTCTCGAGAGAGAGAGAGAGCAGGAAAAGCAGTTGCAGTTGAGATAACGAACCCACATTTGGCACGGCCTGGCGATCGGGTGATCGTGTGTGCGCAAGTGATACAGCGTTGGCGCCACCCCCCCTTGATAAAGTTTGAATTGATTGACTGTCGTAGAAGCTTGCCACACTGGCACGGTCACACCCGTGGCGCTGGCTTTATTAAGTGCAGATTAAAATGCAACGTTTGCACCCGTGGTGCTTCACGTGCAAAGAGCATTTGTTGAGTCCAAACTCTGACGTGCACCCAGCAGTAAACATTTTGGAGCTGTGTGCCAATTCGGGGTGAAGTTACCCGCAGCCCTCTGCAAAGCTTCCCCCCTCCCAGCCACAGCCACAGCCGGCGAGCAGTGCGATGCAATGCCACGATTCAAATGTCGCGAGTTAATTCGGTACTCAATTCCTTTTTTTTTGTTAAATTGTGAATGGTAGCGCAATGGGGCTCCCATCAACCCACTTGCATACAGCTGACGCCTCGTGAATGGGAAGAACAAAAAAGACCACGCAGATTAATTTGCACGTGATTCAGTACATCTAATAACCGCTATACAGCGAGATTAATATTCACCACGAAGTGACAGTTGGGTGCATTGGTCCCATGGCTCATGCTCACGGCTTTGCGACGGAGAAGGCGACTCGTGAAGTGTAACGCGTCCGTGACTAAAGTGCCGGCTAACATCGCCCGCGGCCCCTCAACATTTAGAGTTGCCAAGATACCAGAGTTTGCGTAAGCGCCGGCTTGGATAAATATAAGCGCCGACTTCCTAAGCGGCATTTTTGGTTTTGACTTTTTCTCATTGCGCCGTTTTGGTTCGTTGCTGTCGAGTTCAAACTTGGGACTTCCGTTAAATTTTGGCGGGAACAGCGCAAAAGCGCGAGGGGTTTCTTTTCCCGCTCTCACCCCCGCGGTGAGAAAAAAAAACCGCGTTCACAGAATGGCATCGGGAGGTTGACGGGACAGTGAGATAAAGCAACGCCGTTAACGTCCATTTCCAATTGGTCCCTCTCTATCTCTCTCCACGCAAATGCTCGAATGGCGCGTGTCTTATCAGCCACCACACACAAACACACACAAGTTGTTCCTCAAAAAGCCAACCCCAACAACGATTCGTGGATAAAAGTGTGTAGGTTCAACGGGAGAAGTGTGTAATGACAGGTGACGTTTCAGGCAATGGGCCTTCTCCATAGCACACAGTGAGGGAGACTGCACGTGACACTGTGGGGCCTGATAAATGAAATAAATGTTTCCTCATGGACAGTCCCTTCCAGAGTCTTGGCCTACATTCTATGGCTAAGGGTTAGCAACAGTGAAAAATAAAATTCGTTAAGTAGATGTAGTGTTATTCTTGGTTCTTTCGGTAAAGTCACGTAGAAGGGAAATAATAAAATAATATTAAACAATAAAAATTCTCACGACGTTTCGACTGCAACACAAGCAATCATCATCAGGTGTGAAATCCACAGCAAGAAAAACTTTTTTCAAATTTTCTTGCCGTGGATTTCATACCTGATGATGATTGCTTGTGTTGCAGTCGAAACGTCGTGAGCATTTTTATTGTTTTATATTATTTTATCATTTCCCTTCTACGTGACTTTTCCGAAAGAACCAAGAATATGAATCCCTGCAGTCACGAAAGCTTTAGATCGAGATGTAGTGTTTCTGCTCTGTATCTCCACACATTTTTTTCAAAGAAAAAGGTCACTCTGTCTGCCTATTGGCCATCCGCTGACGTTAACTCGCAATGTTTGTTGAGGATTGCAAACTCTGGGCCCGTTTCGACATTCTGCTTCTCATCAGCAGTCAGGCTTGCGAAACACAAACCTCTAGTTTCCCACGTATTGTTAGTGAGAGCATTCCCTGCACATAATAGGGCCCTGTTTGTGCAAAAACAAGCATATAGATTTGGGTCATTTAAATACTTAGCTAATTTGTTAGTATATTCACATTTGTCCACTGCGCACTCATCAATTATCATCAGCATGACCAGCAGCGCCACTTATCATTTAAGCATGCTTACACTGTACTCCATACGACACAGCGTGGAATCCTCTGTGTATAAAATACACTTCTAGATCTATTGCGGAACAAGTTTTGCATAAGGAGGCAATTGTACAGACATTTGAGCCGTGCCGCTCAAATGTAACTATGAGTCACGTAAACGTCCCCGTTCTCAAAGTTTGCGGTAGTCACAAATAACCGGAGTTACCAGGCAGCGAGACAGCCCCTACGGACATATCTGAATTTTTTATAACTTTTTTTTATTTTTTTCCGCTGCCTCGGTGGAAAACTCTTTAGCCGCTGCCCTTCGCGCATTCAATCGCTGCGAGGGGAGAGAACTTTGAATCGCACTCCCCACGCTGCTCAGCCCTTGAGATTTGGTGGGGGGGGGGAACCCCTCCAGATCTACTACAGAGGCTCTATCGGGTCGTTATAATAGGCCCGGTGGTGATGGTCGGTGGGGGATAAAGTATCAGGGAGCCCTCGTGCGAACGGGCCCTGCCAAGGGACCAGAGGTCGCAAACGGGTTTTGATTCCTTACCCGTACCCGGCCGCACCAGGGTCGCAAATGGGTACCCGTACCCGTTCCCTACCCGTACCCGTACCCTACCCGAAATGAGTGACAAACGGTGACTCACCAGTGACTCACGGCCTACCCGTACCCGTACCCGGCCGCACCAGGGTCGCAAACGGCTACCCGTACCCGGCCGGGTACGGGTAGCCGGGTATCTGGTAGGGTACGGGTATCGGGTAGGGTACAGGTATCGGGTAGGGTACGGGTATCGGGTAGGGTACGAGTATCGGGTAGGGTAGGGTATCGGGTAGGGTAGGGTACGGGTATCGGGTAGGGTACGGGTATCGGGTAGGGTACGGGTATCGGGTAGGGTACGGGTATCGGGTACCCGGTTGGGACCTCTGCAAGGGACTGGTGCCCACAGCGGCTGCGGGCGGCCACCCACGCCAGCCGCCAGACATTCTTGGCTGCAGAGGCAGCAATTGCAGTCTGTGCGCAAAGACAGCTTGGAAATGGAACGACGTGGCGGGAGTGGTGTGGGGGTGTTGTGCCAGATACCGTAGTCATCAGTGCAGGCGCGCAGAGACGTTGCCACGTTTGCTGCGAGCTGGGAAAAGGCTTCGGGTGAATTTTTTTTTTTGCTGTTGTTCAAATCGCTGTTGGGTTTTTCCTTCCGATTTGTTATTAAACTTTGTGTGTGTTGGTTGTTGTTGTTGTTGTTGTTTGTTGTTGTTGTCATCAGCACGGACGTGCAAGTGTTCCTGGATTCTGGCGAACCGAGGACGAAATGCATCGAAAACTACATCGAAAAGCCTGATGTACGTCGACTGAAATGTTATTTCGTTGCAATGTACGCACACCGTGGCGATGATGATTACGACGATTATGATGGCACGGATGAAGGCCTCTCCATCGCCGTGCGGTGCGGTGAATCACGTGCACTGTACCATAAAAAACTAGGAGTTCGATTCCCAGCAATGGCTGCACATAATTATTTCCACGCTTTGTTAAATGCCACATTCTAAAATTAGTCCGTGACCAACATTGGAATGGAATGCATGGGCCTGTGAGGGTCCGTAGCGTTTCGACCTGTTCTATTTAATTAGCTTCAGACTGTCCACTCGTGCAAACTATTTATTTTAATGAGAAGCTTCGTTTTAAAAGAAGAGGAAAATAAACATTCCATTCTGTGGTCTCATTTGATTCTATTTCCAGTCTCGTGACCTCCATTCAACCCCAGCGAATTTTTTTTTGTTATTTCAGGAAATTTCAACAAGAGATATCAACCTCGGTCCATCACACAACCCACAGTAAGAAACACACACATGCACTTGCACGCACACACGCACACGGCATCGTCATACAAGTGCATGCCAGCTATTGTATAAGCAATCTGCACGGCCTGCCACCTGGCTCATGTCTCCAATCTCATATCTACATTTCTTGCAGCAAACAGCACTGTCTCCCCATCCTCTGTGTGTGATGGGATGTTACTCTCTGTCTCTCCTTTTCTGTTCATGTGGTCTAAGTTTCCCTTCCTTTATTGATTGTACTTAAAACCCTCTCCCATCGTAAACAAAAAAAAACAAGACTTTTCTCTTAATGGTGTAGGATTTGTAAAAACACTCGCGTGTTTTGGGTGTGCATATTTGCAGTGTAATCTTTATTTTCGTAATGCTGTATTGCACAACGTCTAGAAATGCTTTCGCTACGTAACATTAAGCAAATATGATTTGCATACGGCTGTTACGGAACATACCGTGAGTACACGGATTAATAACAGAGGGTACAGAATATTGCATGCTGTGCCAACCATATGCTGATACACGTTAAACGATAAGAAACAAAATTTACGTTTAATTTATTCACTTAAGGTTACACTCACCCAAAGTGTATAAACGCTCATTAAATGGATGAACCGCATCTTTAAATAAAAAAACAGCAATGCAGTACCCTCCTGAAACGGGATTACTAAGACTCAAGAGTGAACTTTTCTGGATTTAATAAATAAATTGCATGACTTGGCCTTGGCTTGCAAAAAAATACGCCCCGTCAGCTGCTTTGTTGAGTTTAAGAATTACGGTAAATTCCAACGGCTACTTAATTTTAAAAAATACATCCCTCTTTCTTCGCTCCCTCTCTTTTCCTCCCCCCCCTCCCTCCCCCCGCAGGGCAAAACCCACAGACTTCGACTTCCTGAAAATTATTGGCAAGGGAAGCTTTGGGAAAGTAAGTAAGCCTGCACAGACCAGCTGAAAATTGAAGTCGATCGGTGCAACAGTCTCGCTGCAACAATCGTTGCAAGCGACAAATGATCAGAATCAGAATGTTGATTTGTACAGGAGGAATCCGATGAGCAGTGTGGTGTTGTCCATGTGTGTGCTCGCCGTTCGAATTGGCGCGCAGCAACAATGAGTAAATAAAGTTACAGTCGGGGCCTTCAACGCAGAACCAAGTTGCTCACTTCTCGGGACTGTGTTTTATTGTTGCGAATTGGCTGAATGGGGATCACGTGGTAATGACACGTGGCTGACTCGTGATAAATAAGTGGCATTAATCTGTCGTTGTGAATGTGATTAGCGTGCACTCAGGAGTTATTTTGCTTATAACTTCTTGTCTAAAATACCCGCATAGATGTTTTTGTTCATAGGCCCAACAGACACCTTTTTCTTGCCTAGTCAACTGCCTGTCTTACCTGGGCTCAGGCAAGAGGTGAATGGGAGTGGGGGGACAGGAACTGGGCCTCCCATTGTCTATTTACTGAGCTTAACGGCTAATTACCATGCAACTATGTAGCAAAACAGAAGCAACAAAGTTGCACTGTCAAACATGCGATGTTGCCCAACAAAGTCGCGTGCAAGAGAAGTGCACGGCCAGCTCCACACGGCAACCGTTGGTATATTCTGAGCAACATCTTTACGCGCGGAGGGCACGCGCGGCTGCGTTTGTGCGTCTCATGAGGTTTATGTTCTGCTCTGTGTTCTCAACCAGGTGCTGTTAGCCAAGCTCAAGACTGATGAGAAGTTTTACGCTGTCAAGGTGCTCCAGAAGAAAGCCATTCTCAAAAAGAAAGAGGTAAATATCCTGAACTCACCCGCCATAGCAGAATGCCTATCATGTCAAATGTCAAAGCGGCAACCGGGCATTATAGCATATGACAACATCGCCATGAATATACCCGATTTTGTCAAGCATCGGATCGAGCCTGATTGTCGCCGTAATTGGGGAGGATACTTTTGAAATAGCAGGCGTTCTAGGCTTGGGCTACAAGTAGACCGGGAAATGGCAGAGCTTGCAGTGTGCAACTCCTTCGTATGTGGCCGGTTTTCTCAGTCTTCACCGGTTTCCGACCCACAAGCCAAACACTTGAGACTCTCATGGATAATTATAGGTCATCATTAGAATTGCTCAGCCATTGTGCATCTCTCCTTAACACAGTTGACCACAAACTTGCCGTCCAGCCCATCTCGACATTGACACCATCGGCCTCTAGCAAAAAGCTATTGCCAGCACGGCTGCTCAGGCAAAGCCGGCGCCTGTCCAACGCCAACACAGGGTCTCTGCAAACACCAAGTGTGGAGTGGTGCCTCTTTGGGCGATGGGCGCGCCAGCAGGGCAACGGCCTCTGCCCCAACACCCCCCCCCCCTACCCCGTAACCCAAGTGGCGTCTTCTCGGTCAGGCCCAACGCATGCATCGTCAACCCTGCAGGTGTCCCGCGGTGCGCCGCGCATTGGCGATAGGTGGAGAGATCAGAAATGCGCCCGACTCATGGCCTCGCCCGGCAGCGCCTCGCGCTTGGATTACGAGCGGCTGCAACGACCGCCGTGACAATCCCACTGGATGCGTTGTCGTCGTTGTTGTCGATGATGATGTATACATGAATGTTGAACTTCTATCGCACCATACCAACCGTGCTAATTGGAGGTGCGCAGGAGAGATAACAAACGAAACAGAAAAAGCAGTTCTAAGGAAATTAGTTTTACATTTTTATTTAAAAATGCACAGCTCCAGTGGCTTCCGAATAATACTAATGATGTCGCTGGGTCATTAGTATTCGCACGTTTTACCATAACAGCATCGTCTCTCTCTCTCTCTTTCGTTCTCTCGCTTGCCTTGTCCAGCAAAAGCACATCATGGCGGAGAGGAATGTACTCCTCAAGAATGTGAAGCATCCCTTTCTCGTGGGCCTGCACTACTCCTTCCAGACGGCCGACAAGCTCTACTTTGTGCTTGACTACATCAACGGCGGAGAGGTGAGAACGTCTACCTGTGCACCGTGCATTGTAGTGCATCACAAATGGAAAGAATACCTCAAATCTCCAGCAGGCGTCAAGGTCGGGATCGAACTCACGACCTCCTGTGTACCAAGTGAGGTAGTTAACATTTTGCTACCGCGAGATAGTTGAATATTAAACTTCTTTTGCACCGTACGTAGCAGCCCGTGATAATCGGAGCTGCGGGGGTCACATTAATTGTTTAAAACTCGGAAAAGATGACTGATTCTCGTGGCATGTCACCGTGAGTGCGACAATCGATTTCAAAATCGACGAGTCTCTGCGATCATTACACCCGGGCTAGCGTGACCTCGTCTGGGTTAGCTGTCGAAGGCAGGAAAGGAGAGAAGAAGCACGGGAGAAAAAGGTTTGGGGGGCTGGGCAGTGGGTGGGGGTGACGGAAGGGGGGGGCTCTCTGCCAGAGAGGGAGAGGCAGAGACGGACGGAGGGAGAGCGAAGACGACGGAGAGGATAAGCGGCGGGGCTCGCGAGACAGAATGGCGGCTGCATTCCAGCGGCGTCCTCTTCCTGTCATTGTTTGTCCGCCCGCGGTTGCGTGCTGGCGCGGCCGCCCCTCTTTCCTGCGCCTTTCCCCCCCTACCGCCCCCCCACCCATCCCCCCCCCCCATCCCCCCCCCACCGGCGCGTGCTATCTCAGGATAGCGCCGCAGCGTGAGGAAGGACGCGAGAAAGGCAGGAGGACGCCGGGCCCGGGTCTCGCCGATTTTAACTCTCCGCTCTTGCCAAACGAATCCGACAACAATTACAGACGCGCAGTTGGTGAAAGAGTTGCGTTCTTCATCGTGAACCGGGCCTCTTAGTCAGGGTGGGGCGGGGGGGGGGGCAGCGCTGGGTCAACGCACCTCGGCTTGGCAGGAGCACACGCATACCGTGTCAACCCATACGGTTCACCACGTATTTTTGTTCGGGGACTTTTGAGTTTTCCGGTCCGTACGGCGTACAGCCGTTTCAATACGGGCAGGAAAATGCGTCTATTTGTTTGTGTTTCTCCCTTGTGATGGGACTTTGTAGGATGAACGTTGAGATTTATAAGGGCACGGGGTGACCAATAAGGTCTGAATTGGTCTGTAATAAGGTAGGGCAATCATAAGGGGTTGAAAGGCGTGCAGATGCTGCAGCTGTCTCTTACAGGTTTACCGTCATTGTTAAGTTCAAAAGCTGCCCTCCCAACGTTTACACACCTGTTACGTTGTGTATACACACAACAGGTACTGTACACCCAGCTGATATTTATTTAGCAAGTAATACGGATTGACGTCAGCGCACAGCGAAGGCTCGACGTCGCGAGGTCATGGGGGCAGATTTGGATATCGTGTTGGATGATAGATTCTCAAATGGCTGAGAGCCAGGAGAACGGCTCGCGTCCGTGCTGTGTGTGACTCTCACACACGGGGACCTTGATTTGCAGTCCCCGTAACCATTGGCTCTGGGAGCAGCATCACATCACGGAGCGCACTCGGCCAAAATATTTTCACGTCGATTTTGAATCCTCATTCATTCATTCATTGCACAAACGCGTGAATACTCGGCAAGAAATTGCAACACGCACATGTGCACATTTACACCCAGATGCTGCTGATAATAAATAGGCTGTTATTCCATTGAACTTGCGACCTTGGTTATGACGGACACATTCGCCCAATGTTCTACTCCAGGAGCCCATGGATGAGCTGAATTCATTGCATTTTGTGAACCAGATTAGGTGTTCTCATGTCGAACAAATATCCTCTTGGCACCATCTCCCCCGTGCACCACACACTCCCTAGGCATGTACCCACAACCAAACACTGTTATATTCATATTCTTTGGGTCTTTCGGTAAAGTCACGTAGATAGGTTCAAAGAAAAAAACAGAAAACTAGTAGTTTTTTTGTTATTTAGTAGTAGTTTTTTGTTATTTTCTTTGAACCTATCGACGTGACTTTACCGAAAGACCCAAAGAATATGAATTCCTGCAGTCACGAAAGCTTTAAGTCAAGATCCAACCACTCTTCCGTCGACTCACACACGTAACGCGTAATCCCCCCCGCGCCCTATTTTTGGAATACAGTACGCATCATCCACACTCGCGCAATGCCCGGCGATGCTACCACAACCAGGTTAAGATTGCAACGCAAAGTCTCACGGAGAGGAACATCTCAAAAGACATGCAGAAAGCGGCCGTCTGGAATGCTCTTCCTGTCGACATTCGGAAGCCACTGGGAGTGATGCACTTTGAAATCGATATCGAAAAAGAATTTCTTTATAACCGCTTTTAGTGCTTAGTTTTTTTGCCCTGCCCCCGCACCTCAAATGATGCCGGTTGTCTATGCACGGTGCGAAAGTTGTTAACCATATACACACATACGTACAAGGGATTCCAAAGGCAGCCGTGAAAAAGATTGAAAATTCTACGCGACAACAGCCCACACACGCATCCCCTCGGGGATCTGTCCTATTTTCGGTCACGGAGACACCGCGCCACTTTTACACGAATATTACGCAAAGGAACATTTTACCACGCACGAGCTCAGGATCTCCTATAGCGACGGAGTTACTCATCGCGGCGTCGAAGCGGCCTCGATGCCGCTATGAATCATTGGCACAGTGTGTTGGCGTGGGCGTTTTTTCTCTCGCTGCCACCGCGTGCGCACGTTTTCCCTTGATTGAATGAAGTCGGCCCACGCTCTGCCGTGCGCAGGTGTTGCGCACACGGGCTACAAAATCCCCTTCTCCTGTTGGCCACGGTGGCGAGATGTTAACCGCCTTGCCTGGTATACAGGAGGTCGTGGGTTCGATCGCGACCCTGACGCCTCTATAATTGGAGTTTGCGTGTTTCTCTCTCTCACCGTAGTTGCTTGGATTTTTCTCCGGATGCTCCGGTTTCTCCCTTCACATTTAGAAACATGCTTTTAGAGTAGTTGGCTGCTATAAATTTCCACTCGGGTAGGCCACTTCATTGAGCTATCATTTGTGGCCAGGTCGCTTGTCAAAAAGAGCTTCATAGCTCAGTGGGCCTCACCTGATAAAAATTAAATTAAAAAATGCATAGTTTTCCTCTGGTGCTGTTGTTAATTCACAATGCTTGTGAATGTCAATTATGCCAGGGACATCCTGAGCCTCAATGCTCATTTTCATGAGGATCCTGCAATAAATGGGATGTTTTGGCCAATTCAATGAATGTTTGGTTTGTGGGGAAAAACCGCAGATCCCAGAGAAATGCCACACATTCGAGGGTAGTAACACTTAGAAGCTCTGATATTTTCTGGCCACATCACAGCTCAACCCAACAATACCTGGTATAGCCAGGCAAGTACTAGCTAGGCTCAAAAGCTGCGTGGCTTACAGGATCGGATGTGATCGGGTGCAGTCAGGGCGATTTGGTTGAAGATCACAAAATGCCAGGTGATGGAAACCGCGTAGACGACTGCCCAAATTGCGTTGGGGCGAAACCTAAGTTGACGATGGCTGTGATACTAATAGGGTTTTTAACCTTTTTTTTCTGGCAACAAAACTGATACCTTTTGCAAGGAATCGTGTTTACATTAACCACAATACTTGCAGTCAAATGCAAACAAAAAACGCCAAAAGGCGTCATCTGGTCGAACACCATATAAGACGAGGCTCCAAAGAAAGCTGTCTCTGGTGTGGACCAATCAGTTTCAAAGACAATGCATAAATTACCAGAGTATTGTTTTTTGTTTGCATTTGACTGCAAGTATTGTGGTTAATGTAAACATGATACCTTGCAAAAGGTATCAGTTTTGTTGCCAGAAAAAAGGGGAAAAACCCTATTAGTATATTTCGGTACTGGCAAAAGAGGTCCCATGATGGTGATGGCTGTGATGTTTCTGCGATGGCTGTGGTGCCGGTTATTCACACGGCTCTTCATTTGTCTTCCGTCCCAGCTCTTCTTCCACTTGCAGCGTGAGCACGTGTTCCTGGAGCCACGGGCCCGCTTCTACGCGGCCGAGATCGCAAGCGCCATTGGCTACCTACATTCGCTCAACATTGTCTACAGGTGAGATCACCCAAGTTCACGTTGGAATATCCCACGATGCTCCGCGAGCAGGTGATGGGATCATTCCATTTTGAGTGTATGGTAAGGGGTGGCAATTGCAGTTTCTTAAATGTGTATTGAGTGCAGGGCTTGTGTTGCGTGGCTTTGCAAATGCCAGAGTTTGGTCCCTGTGCCAGTAAAAAACATGTCTATCCACACCAACCAGACCCGTGTCATTTGCAACACCCAATTGCCACCCAGTTGGATAGGCGGTAGAGCGAGCAGCTCGCAATCGGAAGGTTGCAAGTTCAAATCCTGGTTTGGGGTTGACTCAGCCCAAGTACCGTTTTGTGGGGAAGTCAACAGTGGTTCCCATGGATAGATTCGCTCCCTACAATAGAAATGTGGAATTGACACGAATGGTTCAGGGCTGTAAGCAGGAGATGACGAACCGCTACCAGTGCTCGTTTGAGCATAGAATCACTTCGACTGAAGCAGATTGCATCACATGCGATGCGGTTTCTGGTTTAAACGCTCTCAATCCGTTTGGTGAACCCCTTGTGTGACTAAATGCGACGCTTCTGTTTTACTTTCCCCCATCAGAGACCTAAAGCCCGAAAACATTCTTCTCGACTTCGAGGTAATTCTAGCATTTTATTTATACCCACAAGACACACAAATGCATGTACAAAGACAAAGATCCCCCTCGTATAGCCTTAACATGCTGTGTGTTATTAGCGAGTAGCACTTATGAAGGCCGGCACGGCACACGAGGGCATGGGTGGCCAGCACCACGCCCAGCCGCCTTTGTCTCCCTAGTGGCGATATTTTACACGCAATTATTTGAGGCTGAGTCGACCTGGGGGAGACCCGGGACCGGTTCAAATAATCGTCACTGGTGTTGGCCGTGAGCGGGAATCTCTTAATTATACTTTGATACCTGCGAGACACAAGCGCATGCACACCAGAGGTCGCAAACGGGTTTTGATTCCTTACCCGTACCCGTACCTGGCCGCACCAGGGTCGCAAACGGGTACCCGTACCCTACCCGTACCCGTACCCTACCCGAAATGAGTGACAAACGGTTACTCACCAGTGACTCACGGCCTACCCGTACCCGTACCCGGCCGCACCAGGGTCGCAAACGGCTACCTGTACCCGGCCGGGTACGGGTAGCCGGGTATCGGGTAGGGTACGGGTATCGGGTACCCGGTTGCGACCTCTGATGCACACACACACGCCCGCCCGTGCACGCGCGCGCACACACAGATGCTCGCGTTGTGAAATTATGTGCACGTCCTGCAGACAGCAGCGCAAGGTTTTGACGCTCGTATTCTTTGTTCGCTTCGACAGGGCCACATCATCCTCACAGATTTTGGCCTCTGCAAGGAGGGAATTCAGACCAACGACACCACCTCCACTTTCTGCGGCACTCCAGAGGTGAGCGATTGCTTCTGGGTGTTTGTTTGTTTTTTTCAGATACGAAATTTATTTAACAAACCGGAAAAAAAACCGTAGCCAACGCTTGAGCCGAACGCGTGGGTGGATCTTCGTTGCACGTGGCGTGCGAGCCAAGCCACCACTCACCGTCCTTCTGTCTCAGAAATGTTATTTGTCCCTTAGGTTTTTTCGGTAAAGTAACGTAGGTAAAAAATTAAAATTAATAAAAGTAAAATAAAAATCACGACGTTTCGGAGGCAACACAAGCTTCCGTCTTCAGGTGGAACCGTCACAGCACGATTGCTGTTTCAAGTTACTTGCATCCGAAACGTCGTGATTTTTTTATTTTACTTTTATCAATTTTAATGTTAATTTTTTACCTACGTGACTTTACCGAAAAAACCTAAGAATATGAATCCTTGCAGTCACGAAAGCTTCAAATCTAGAGTTAATTGTCCCGTCGTTCTACCAGTCACGGCACTTGAGTAGGGGGCTCATTTTGACCGGAAGGAACCAGCCAGGGAACAACGTATTATTTTTTTACGATTAGCGACGTACTGTGTGTATTTATCTATGACGTAACACCTTTTGACCCAGGGCAACCAAACAAAAGCCTTGATGAAAATGTTTCACCATGCTCGTCGCAATGAGCGGGGCCCCCCCTAGCGGACAAAATGCGGCATTGCACCGAAAGTTAAAAGTGAATTTCGATTTAAAGCTTTCGTGACTGCAGGGATTCATCTTTTTGGTTCTTTCGGTAAAGTCACGTAGAATGGAAATAATAAAATAATAAAAATAAAACATTATACAATAATTCTCACGACGTTTTTAAAAGTGAATGTTGGAGGGATCAAACCTGAGCCCTCATGCAATGCAGTTTTATTATCGATTATAATTTAGACAAGAAGCAAAACAAAAATCACCCTTTCCGTAAGACGGTCTCATACCGGATTGTTTAGATTTGTGTTCATACATCGTCTCTTTGCGCACTGGCCCACCCAAACGTTATTTCGATCAAAGCGTTTCCCCCCACCTGCTCCCTCCACCCCTCCCCCCCCCCCCCCCCCCTCCCACAGTACCTGGCACCCGAGGTCCTCAAGAAGCAGGCGTATGATCGCACCGTGGACTGGTGGTGCCTGGGAGCCGTGCTGTACGAGATGCTCTACGGCCTGGTGAGCGCTCAAGCGACGGTCGCACATCGCGGTTCACGCATTCTCGCGACGGCGCACGTTTGCGGACGAGCGAGTCATCGCCATCGTCGCCGCCGTTCTCTGCCCGACAAATGAGACGCGTCGGTGCGGTAGCCACCGTCGTCCCGCGGTCGACAGACCCCCGTCTCGGTCAAAACCCAAACGGCCCTCGCTTCTTTTCCCCCGCCCCGGTTTCAGCCGCCGTTCTACAGTCGCAACACGGCCGAGATGTACGACAACATCCTGAAGAAGCCGCTGGCGCTCAAGCCGAACATCTCCAACTCGGCGCGGGATCTGCTGGAGGGTCTGCTCCACAAGGACCGCACCCAGAGGCTCGGCGCTAGCGGAGACTTCGTAAGAGACGCCACCGCCAACCGCTCGCACGGAATGTTGTTCGGCGCACGCTCCGTCCCGTTTCCCCCTCTACTGCGCTGAACCCGCGGAGTGAACCCCCTGGCGTGTATCGCCGCTTAACTCGACGATTCTTAATGTTCATCGTTTGTTTTCCCCGCCCACCTCCCTCCCCCTCCACACCCACCGTCGTATTGAAATGCATGGCCATTCCGCTATTTTTAACTTTACTGCTAATTCAAAAAGAGCCATGTTCTTCTCTCCACCAGAACGATTTTTTTATCCATTATTTCATTAGAATGTGCTGCCGCTCAGGTGTTGAATATTAAGTATTGGCGCTTCCCCATTGTCTTCGCAGGAGTGTCGCCTTATCAGCGAGAATATTCACGCCTTTAGCCCATTTCATAGATATTTACATTTTAGGCTCTCTCCATCTTCCTCCAACTGGAGGGATGTTAACACACGAGCGAGCGGGTTGGGCCGATCACTCCTTGGCGTGCCTGTATGTGTGTACGTCGAAATTCTTTCGAGCCATACGTAGCCAACCAGCAGCTCGAAAGAAACGAGGTCTCAATCTAACTTTGTTCATTTCGCACACACCCCGTTGCCCTCGCCCCCACCAGACGGAGATCAAAGGTCACGTCTTCTTCTCCCCCATCAACTGGGAAGATCTCCTCTCAAAGAAGATCGTGCCGCCGTTCAACCCCAATGTGGTGAGCCTCACGTCCAACCACCAGAAGCGACGCCACGCTCCAGTGACCCTCCCCCAGTGACCCCCCTCCAGTGACCCCCCAGTGACCCCCCAGTGACCCCCCCAATGACCCCCCCAATGACCCCCCCCAGTGACCTCCCACAGTGATCCCCCCAGTGATCCCCCCAATGACCCCCCCAGTGACCCCCCCCCAGTGACCCCCCAGTGACCCCCCCAGTGACCCCCCAGTGACCCCCCCCAATGACCCCCCAGTGACCCCCCAGTGACCCCCCAGTGACCCCCCAGTGACCCCCCCAGTGATCCCCCCCAGTGACCCCCCAGTGACCTCCCCAGTAACCCCCCAGTTACCCCCCCCCCAGTGACCCCCCAGTGACCCCCCCCCAGTGACCCCCCAGTGACCTCCTCCCAGTGACCCCCCCAGTGATCCCCCCCAGTGACCCCCCAGTGACCCCCCAGTAACCCCCCAGTTAACCCCCCCCAGTGACCCCCCAGTGACCCCCCCCAGTGACCCCCCAGTGACCCCCTCCCAGTGACCCCCCCAGTGATCCCCCCCAGTGACCCCCCAGTGACCCCCCCAGTAACCCCCCAGTTAACCCCCCCAGTGACCCCCCCCCAGTGACCCCCCCCAGTGACCCCCCAGTGACCCCCCCCCCATGACCCCCCAGTGACCCCCCCAGTGACCCCCCAGTGACCCCCCCCAATGACCCCCCAGTGACCCCCCAGTGACCCCCCAGTGACCCCCCCAGTGATCCCCCCCAGTGACCCCCCAGTGACCCCCCAGTAACCCCCCAGTTACCCCCCCCCCCAGTGACCCCCCAGTGACCCCCCCAGTGACCCCCCAGTGACTCCTCCCAGTGACCCCCCCAGTGATCCCCCCCAGTGACCCCCGTGACCCCCAGTAACCCCCCAGTTAACCCCCCCCCAGTGACCCCCCAGTGACCCCCCCAGTGACCCCCCAGTGACCCCCAGTGCCCCCCCCAGTGATCCCCCCCAGGACCCCCAGTGACCCCCCCAGTAACCCCCCAGTTAACCCCCCCCAGTGACCCCCCCCCAGTGACCCCCCCCCCCGTGACCCCAGTAACCCCCCCCAGTGACCCCCCAGTGACCACCCCAGTGACCCCCCAGTGACCCCCCCAGTAACCCCCCAGTTAACCCCCCCAGTGACCCCCCCCCCCAGTGACCCCCCCCCCCCCCGTGACCCCCCCAGTGACCCTGGTGCAAGAGTCCCTCGGTTATCCAGGACGGCCACAATGAACGGGCTCATCAGAGTTTGTGATCACAAAGACCAGGGCTAGGGCAGCGGTCCTAGCGAGCTCAGCACACGCATCATCGGAGCTCAATGATCAGGCAGCTGGCAGCAAGCAACAACAACAACGACGATTGCGTTTAAAAGCCTGATTTGGGGCTTGTGCGTGACAGTATTAATGTCACGGAGGAGACCCAGATCGTCGTCTTGGCTTATTTATTTACGTTTCATTACTCTCGCAACGTACGTAGCCAACTGTGCTAATCGTAGGTATGGGGAAAGGGCAACATGGCTAACGGCCCGGAACATCGTTTATTCCGGGAGCTAATTGAATGTCATTGCCCTTAACGGCACTTGACTGAAGGTAAAGCTCTCCGACAGACGTTGCTGGGCACTGCCCTGCCGTCTGACATCTGGTGTCGTCTCGAAAGTTTCGGTCACACTGGCCTCGGTTATCAGAGAAAGGTGGCCGTCGGGAAGCAAAGGCAATGGGCCAGGCATTGAACCTCCAGTGCGCTTTCTCAAACAACATCAACATTACATCGTGCGCTTTACGAACTCAACATTTCCTCCCATCGCCCTGCTCCAGGCTGGAGTGAGACCGCCGTTTTTTTACGACCGAGACAAACATGAGCTCATAATCAATCGTTCGCCCTCCCTCCCTCCCCATTCCGCGTGCAGAACGGTCCGTCCGACCTGCGTCACTTTGACCCGGAGTTCATCTCAGAGCCGGTGCCCGGCTCGTTGTGCCGCTCCCCGGGAGAGTTCGCGGTGAGCGCCAGCTTCCAGGAGGCGAGGGACGCCTTCGCCGGATTCTCCTACGCCCCTCCCAACGGCTCCGCCTTCCTGTGACCTGGCCGCGGATCCGCGCCGAGCGTTCCTTTCGGCCCGTCGCCGACTTGCAAGAGGAAAATCTTGATTCCCTTTCCCATCGGTGGGCCCTCCTAACTGCCCGGTTAGCGGGAGGTGGGCGGGGGGGGGGGAGGGTGAAGGCTCGAGGGAGTTGCGGTTCGGTTTGCCGAGGTCGGCGGTTCGATGACTTTTTGCCCGACGCCGACGTGAAAACCTTCTGCGGTCGTGGGGGTTGTTGGTGACTCGACCCCGCCCCCCCCCCCCCGGCACCATGTGACCTCCGTCCACGTCGTTCGAGCCGACGGGGATGCGGTGTTTTTACGGATCGGCACCGGAATGGGAAGAGGAGGAAAAAAATGTACTTTCCTTTTAATGAATATCTAAGCAGATTAATCAAAGTAACGTGTCGGAAGCTGGAGCATAATTCGTTAGATGGACCAAAGCGACATTAGCAGTCAGATCCCAGTTCAAGCGAGCTGGACCTGAACGTGGGAGCGTTTGGATTGTCGATTTTTGTTGTGATTTTATTTCCCGTTCTAATGTTCTTGCACTTAAGACCAGCCAAGAAGGCAGTAGGAATAAGTGGAACGTTTGTTGTTTGCGAGAGAGAAGAGAGAGAGAGGAGAGACGGGAGCGAGCCTGGGCTCGTTGTCTTACAGCGGGCCGGCAGTGGTCGTTGCACCTTCACTTGCCCTTGAGGCTCGCTCTCGGTGGCAGATCGACGCGCGAGAGAGACAAAAGCCGATTGTGAAGACGTCCGGCATGCAGACTTGAAGACTTTCATCAGCGTTAATTGCTGCTCTGAATACTTTCGGCAATTCCAGCAACAACAAAAAAAAGCAACTTTTCCGACGAGCTGGTAATTGTCCGCACTGTTGTTGTTTGTTGTTATTGTTTTTAGTTGTTTTGTTTTTCGAAAGCCGTATTTATTAATTGTTGTTAATTAGCGTAAGAGTGGGCTCAAACTGGAGGGGAGGGGGGAAGAACGCTGTTGTTAGGCTCATTCCGCTGCTCGTTCCGAATTGATCGGTGACAACGCAGCTCACCCTTGGCTTGAACCTCAGCGCGCGAGGCCGCGTCTTTTGGGGCGTGAGATTTTAGGGTTTTTGGTTTTAAACGTAGCGGAACTGGCAACTTGTTTTCAGTCACTCTCGAGTGTGACCGTGCGCGATTCACACGGTGCAAAACCTAAACACTTCACTTCAATAGCCACTAAGGGACCGGCTCATTTTTCCAAAGTTCCGGAGAGAGATGAGCGGCCCCGCTGCCGACGAAACTAGGGCGACACCCACAGCCGACAGCGGTGATCTGCTCTTAACTAGATGGCAAGCTCCCGTCGCACGCACGCACGCACGCACGTAAGCACTCACGTACGTACGGACGTACGCACTCACGTACGCACTCACGCACGTACGTACGCACGCACGCACTCACTCACGCACGTACGTACGCACTCACGTACGCACGCACGTACGCACATAACTTGCCCGGTGATGGGGGCAGCTGCAAAGCCTCTGTTATTAATACTGTACACACACACACACAGTTGGATTTGTACGTTAACGTATGTGCGTTGAACTTTTTTCGCACCATACATAGTCAACTGTGCTAATATCAGAGGTGCGAGGGAAGGACAAGACACGAAACACAAAAGGCAACGTGAACACCGCACCTCCGATAAGCACGGTTGGCTACGTGTGGTGCGAAAGAAGTTCAACATCATGCGTACATTTCGGGAAACATCCGAAAGTAACGTCGGATCAACCCAGCTGCTTGCTAATTCAACGCGGCTATTTAAAAAATCCGCCGCAGAGCAGAAAATGAAGACCTCCTCAATCCTTCGATCGCCTCGGGCAACCGGTACCGAATCGCACATCATCATCAATGCGGCCGCTACCGGCAACTCAATCTGGAACTTGGCAAGAGCCCGTTGATGCCACCCAATTCTCCGTATGACGAGACGCGCTTTAGTCCCCGCCGTGCAGGAGAGTATTCTAAAGCAAAAGTCGAGGGGTGCGTCTTCTAATCCGGTACAGGAGTTGCGTGTGCGTGCGTGACCAGATTTGTATAACTTTAATTGGCACCGGGCACAAATTTTTGGGGTGCGTCTTATTTTCCAGAGAGTCGTATAATGCGGAGATACAGAGTTCTGTTTTGCAAGGGAGACCTGGAGGCTTCAAGTTGCACCGGGCTCTGTCGCCGAAACGTCCCGTTGATGCCGTCAACATCGCAGCCGCGTGCGAATTGGCACAGGCCGTTGTAGCTGTGCAATAGACGAAAGGCTTACGTTTCTATCGATGACAGTTGTGTACGTGCGCAAGCAATGCATGTATGGGAAATCAAAGAGAAAATGAATGGCAGGTATAATGTGGGTTCTTTTTTTACAATTTGAAGTAACAAAAATCTTTTTGGGTTATTACCGGATAGCGCACGGGTCTTCCGCAAGAGGCAGCTGTTCGTTTGAATGTGAAACTTGGAACAATTGTATCGATGTCAACAATCTACACGTAATAATGTCTACAAGAATCAATCAACGTCTTTTGCATTTCGTAATAAGCGTCATTGTTCTTCTGTTTAAAAAGTGCATTGACAAACTGGTTAAAATGTTTTTAATAACGCACATTCAAGAAAACCACACATACAAGAAAACCACGCATGCAAGAAAACAGAAACTCCTAAGCAGACTAACTAACTACAGATGGGCAAAAGACAAACAAATAACGAAACATAACTAGCGATCAAGATCAATCTTCGTAGCGACAGGACGACTCGGATGGAGTGGTGTGTATACTGTAAGAGCAGACAGCTGAATGAAATACGTTTAAGATCATATGCAGTCCAGGACGTGTACTTCACAAACTTGCGATGAGAAATGAGGACCAGCCAAATGCCAGTCACGCGAACACAATCCACAGAATTATGTTGAAAGGTATAACAAACCTGCACTTCGTATTTAATCAATACTCTGATATTAGACCTACGACATTTAAGTGGGTCTGCATATTGTTGGCATCGTTTTTTTAAGAACTTTTGACTGGTCCCCATTTCCACTTGTTAGCATGCATACGTGCGTGTGTGTGTGTCCGTATATATATTAAAGCGGTTTACAGAATGTTACTTCCCACTGTTAATGTTATAGTCAGTGCCAAAGGTGATGGGTTTAGTTAGTTAGTTTTTTCATTTAAATCCTAATTTATGATTGCTTGACACAACTACGCTGGAAGGAAATGACCGCGAGCGTTGCGGGCGGCAAAGTAGTTGATCCTGCAAATCATCTCTCCGCGGCGGGCGCGAATGTGTTCATCAGGTCTCACGGAAGAGTCTGCGTTTGCCTTGGCACTGGAACGTCGCCCCATGCGGAAGGCAACGATTCCACGAGGACTGAGCGCAACTGCGCGTAGCCCCACGCCTTCAGCGTTCGTCGCGGTGTCAAAATTTCGTGGACCGAAAGAGTTGGGAGCTGTTGATTGAGCTGTTCGTTTTGACCAAATGGGAATGGAGACAGCTGCGGATGTAATTTGCCTGGCTCGCCGTACGGTGCTGATAACTTATTATTACTATTATTGTAGCACTCGGCTCGATAGTTTTTTCTAAAATTGCAATTATAATATGTGGTTGTTATTGCACACGTATTACCTTTTAGCGTCTGACATTGAAAAGAATGCGCGCGCGCGGTGTTGCAGTACAAGTGTTAAACTTCCAATACCTAAGCTATTAAAATCACTTGGTTAAACGAAACTTTTAATTCACTATTGCGATACCTTCAACATCCCAAGCATGTCACTGTCAACTTCATTTGAGCGTCCGTGTTGTTCCACGCGTTGAGGTTTTCGCGTGTGCATTGCAGAATTTATCCCGAGTTCGCGATGTTTCATCTCCAGGTGATGACAGCATCCCCGCGTGCAGGCGAACACGGCAGAGGCACAATGTCAAAGCTCTCATTGATTGTCATGACCGACCGTTGCTGACGGCTGAATTTATTCCCGTTCAACGAGTGTCAGTGTTGAGTGTTGAGTGAATTTACAGTTCAGACACCTGCATTTTTTTTTTGGGCTAGGAGTAAAACTGTCAAATTCAAAGTTTGGTTGAATCCCTGGGGAAATGTTTTTTCCCTCACTTTATAAGTGCCCGTTCCATCCTATTATAACTTACAAATGATAAGCACCACGATAGTCGACTGAAATTCAGTGTCTTAATAGATATTCACGAACTTGGGAACAAACGTGTAATTTTTGGTCAGAGAAATTAAATACAAAAATTATGATGATGCTTTATCATTGCCTCACATACCCCAGTTCCCAGAGCCACCGATCCTGACCAGATTTGTACAATTGCCATCTGTTCCACTCAGTATATATGGCAAATTCTAGATTTGAAGCTTTCGTGACTGCAAGGATTCATACTGTTAGGTTTTTTCGGTAAAGTCACGTAGGTAAAAAAAAAATTAAAAGTTAATAATTTTAGATGTGACGGTCCCACCTGATGACGGAGACTTGTGTTGCCTCCGAAACGTCGTGATTTATTATTTTATTGTATTTCCATTATTACTTTTATTAACTTAAAGAAAAAAACCTACGTGACTTTACCGAAAAAACCTAACAGTTTATATGGCAAACACGGATCACGGCTCATTAATAAGTTGATTGAAAATATGGAACCAGTGGACTTGAGTTAGAGAACCATTGCCTTGTATAATCATTGTGAACATATTCCTTGCATTAGGTACAGTGTATTACAAGCAATACTCGATGATGTATACAAATTGTATATAAAAACATAAAATTATATTATACATTACACATTGAATGTGCATCTCAGTGTATATCTTTAGAATGCTCAAATGTGTTAACAAGTCTTGTTAACGAATTTTTAAATGCATAATGCAACGTTTCCAGTTCTGTAAAAAAAAATAACGGTGTATCAATGTAGAAATAAAGCTCACATTGAGCTCACGACCCAAGCGTCCCGGTTTATTTGCAATCAGATATTGTGTCCGCTGACGTGAGTACATTGCACATCGTGTGAGAGCACGTGGTGTGTGGCGTTCACGTCATCCTGACGTCCAAAAAGGCGAGGTCCTTTCCACGGGCATGGCCTGCGGTAGCGACTGAGTCGTGCGAGATGTTATCCCGATTGAGTGAATCTGCGAGCAAATAACACTGATCAGTACACACACAGTACATTAGACACAGTACACACACAGACCATTAGTCACAGTACACACACAGTACACACACAGTTAATTAGACAGTTCATTAGACAGAGTACGCACAGTACACAGACCGTTTAAAAGACACATTACATACACAGTACACACCCAGTACACACACAGATCATTAGTCACAGTACACACACAGTACACACACACAGTTAATTAGACAGTTCATTAGACAGAGTACGCACAGTACACAGACCGTTTAAAAGACACATTACATACACAGTACACACCCAGTACACACACAGATCATTAGTCACAGTACACACACAGTACACACACACAGTTCATTAGACAGTTCATTAGACAGAGTACGCACAGTACACAGACCGTTTAAAAGACACATTACATATGCAGTACACACCCAGTACATACACACAGTACACACATACACCGTTCATTAGACACAGTACACACACAGTACACACACAGTCAATTAGACACAGTACACACACAGAGTACACACACACCGTTTAAAATACACATTACACACACAGTACACACACATGACTACACACCGTTCATTAGACACAGTACACACGCAGTACACACACAACGTTGTCCCACGTCCCACCACATAACCGCATCTGAGTGACTTCAACCCGCACAGAGGGAATTTTGTGTAGAAATAGGTTAGCCGCATGTAAGTTAAATCGCACAAACCGAGCCCGCAGTAAGCTAGTGAATCCTGCATTGACCGATTGACAACACTGGTCAACAACAACAAAAACATTTTTTTCTGGCCTGGACTTTTGCAGCTGTTTTAGACTAATTTCAGGGTGCTGATTCCAAATCTGATCTCAGAATTGCTCTATCACATCTCATTTTTATGCTATCGGCATACCCCACTTTCATTGATTTTACCCGAAATTAACTCTGTCACTTATGATTGCAAGTTGTTGCGAGTCAGTGACTGCTTTAGTGTAAAAATATGGTGCTGTATTTTTAGGATAGTGTGTTTATAATATCATTTTATGTAGATATCCACATTTATTTAATATTTTTCTTCTGCAGTTTTTATTGAAAATGCAATATTTGATATCTCAAAAACCTGATGTGATAGACAAAAACTGATGCCAGATTTGGAATCAGCACCCCAAAATTACCCAACCGTTGGAACACCTTATGCCAGAACAAGTGTGTTGACCAGTGTAATCATTGTCAATTCTTAAGCTCTGGCTACATGTATCAAATTACGTATACAGTATAAGAATCGTTTATTTTTAGTTATTCACATCCGCTGCTGCATGCAATGGGTCATTGTGTCCCATGCAGTCACTAGGAGTGCAACCCATTCATGCGAAGGTCAAAACAAGAATCGATTTGAATGGTTTCCAGCTCTCCTGGACACGTGGGCCAGGCGGCTCAGAGGCAGAGCGAGCGGCACACAGCCACAAAGTTTGCGAGTTCAAATCCTCTTTTTGGGGAGGTTTAATTCAGCCCATCATTTTACGGGGTCGCTAAAGTAAGTATCATTGACGGAGAAAAGTCATCAGTGGTTGTTGTTGTGGATAGACTCACCGCTGCCACTGCTACGTGGAATTTCCACCACTGGCTCAGGGCTGTTCTTCACCTGAGGACGGCTGCTTGCGTTGTGGCCGAAACGTCGTGAGAATTATTTAACAATGTTTTATTTTTATTATTTTATTATTTCCCTTCTACGTGACTTTACCGAAAGAACCAATAATATACTGCCCGAATGCTCAATTGAGCCGGATATCACTTCGACTTTTTTGACTTCATACGTCCATAATTGTGAACAACAACAACAACAACATTCGCCAACACTCCACGTTGGGGCCAATTACCCCTCACTACCTTCGGCTTGCTCAAACATTCCGAAACGAAGTTGCCACTGCCCCGTCTTGTTCTTCTCCTAGTCCCGTACGCCTGCTGCTGCTGTAGTTGCAGAACAACGGCCCACAGGTTCATGTGCAGGTGGTCACGCCCAGGTATATCCTGAGCAACCAGAGGTCGCAACCGGTTACCCGATACCCGTACCCTACCCGATACCCGGCTACCCGTACCCGGCCGGGTACGGGTAGGCCGTGAGTCACTGGTGAGTAACCGTTTCTCACTCATTTCCCAACGTCTTGTCTCTTCTCACAATTCAAGTTCCTAGAATCAACCCACCCGCGCCTGCAACATGGCTTCATCCCAGAGGTCGCAATTGGGTACCCGATACCCGTACCCTACCCGTATTGCCGGGTACGGGTACGGCCGGGTACGGGTACCCGTTTGCGACCTTACCCGTTTGCGACCCTGGTGCGGCCGGGTACGGGTAAGGAATCAAAACCCGTTTGCGACCTCTGTGAGCAACGGAGTGTATCGGTGGATCGGGGAAATTGTGTCACGTTTTACGTTGTTCACGCCCGATCCACGTTCCATCGCTGGACAGCATTGCCATCTGCTGGTGGAATTGCACCATGGATGATTACTGGTTTACCACGTAATACTGGTAGGAACCTCCTGGTTACACCAGCCCACAGGGGATTATTGTGTCCGTCGTGCAGGGAGGGGCTGGGTGGGGAGGGTGGGGAGGGGCTGGGTGGGGAGGGGCTGGGTGGGGAGCGTGGGGAGGGGCTGGGTGGGGCTGGGTGGAGAGGGTGGGGTGGGGCTGGGTGGGGTGTGGGAGGGGTGGGGCTGGGTGGGGTGTGGGAGGGGTGGGGCTGGGTGGGGAGGGGCTGGTCACTCCGTGGTGCCCTTATAAAACTCAACGTTTAACCTACTCACGCCGACTTGTGCCCGCCCTCAGTCGGGCATATTTGCGGAATACACCACGCCGTCGTTAACCCTGGCCATTGACCGAGCAACCCAACGTTCCTACCAGCTCCCTCCACAGGAATGTGTTTAAAAAAACATTTTTTTTAACACGCTTTTATGAAATGTACTAGTAATGGCAGAACTACACGACGCCAGGGAAGTGGCCCCGAAGCTTGCCATAACGTAAGTGACTGGTCAATTACAGCCAACGTCAGTTGACCGTAGACAATTAGACCCAAGCCGAAACATTAAATATAAAAAGAATGTTTTAAAATATAGATTGTTTCATGATAAAATATAGTATTGTCATCAGTATGACATAAGCATACCAAGTTTGAAGTCGATACCACATTGGGAAGTGGGTTAAAATTGAGTTACAAGATTTGAGGATACAACAACAACAGACAGTGATTCATCTTCTTGTTTCTTTCGGTAAAGTCACGTAGAAGGGAAGTAATAAAATAATAAAAATAAAACATAATACGTGACTTTACCGAAAGAAACAAGAAGATGAATCCCTGCAGTCACGAAAGCTTTAAATCGAAATTTAACAGACAGTGAGTTAATAAAACGCGTGTAAAAAGCTTGAACAGAGATGGGTCACGGCACAGGTATACACGTTTTATTTGTAAATGCAGCATGTACATCATCAAGGCAAGGGGGGGATGCAACTGTGTGTGTGTGGTGCACGAGCAGGTAGAGAGGGTGACCCCTCTTTTGGCAGGCACACGTGCCAGCCCTCGTGTTCAACCTTGTGCAAGTCCTTTATTAAATACAACCGGGACGGAATGTAGATTTCAGTGTAAACGGGCATATAACTTGTAAGGCCACAAAAGGCCAACCATTCTGTATACATTCATTTCCACTGTAGCAGTCATTATACATCATTATTATTTCATCATGTATTCATTGTACGACTATCCGGTAGAAGGCTACGTCTGCTTCAAGGATGAGGATTTCCATTTCTAGGCAATGCCTTAGCAACCCAAAGCGCCTTACATCGCATCTCGATGCCCTTGCTGCAGTAGAGCATAGGGCAAGCTGAGCGACAGCCGTCCCTGTACGATACAAGAAGTACGCAGCACCCGGCCTGTAAATAAATTGCCAAGTAGGTGCGGTGTTGCTACGGTTTTTTTTCAATTAAGTACAGAAATTTAATTTAACAACTGTTGCGATGTTTGATCGTGGCTTCAATGGAATTACCCCTATTGTTTTTAGCTGTATCTTCAGCATCAGGTATGATTTGGGTGAACCGACTATGGGGGCATTTATATTTTCTTAAGAGTTTAGCACACGACTCGAAACAGTTAAAGAACCTTAGGATGACCCTATCCTCCGAGTGAAACCGATCAAAAAGTGTATTCTTTACCGAGGAAGGCATCGCCAATACTGTATTTCTTTTTTTCTTCCAGGATGGATCGGGACATGGGAATGTTTGACGAATTCGATTATTGAGTGTTTGGTACGTGGGAGGAAATCAGAGTGCCCAGAGAAAACCACGAGTGCAGGGGGCAGTGGTGGCGGGTGAGGATGTCTACATTGGTGGCGTGCAAGCCTGCAAGGGGAGAACTGGTCATAAATGAGAAACCAACCACCTTTACATCATCCGCACCTAGTTTACACAACAAAGGCTCATTCCTAACAGCGTGCTTCAGCCGCACCGAACCTCACAAAAATAATATCCAGGGCCTACCTTGGCTCCTCCCACCCTCAACCAGTATATATACAAATACTGTTTCTTGGAATTTCTCTCACTTGATACAGCTATCGTGCTGTGATGGTTCCACCTGAAGACGGAAGCTTGTGTTGCCTACGAAACGTCGTGATTTTTATTTTATTTTTATTTTACTTTTATTAATTTTAATTTTTTACGTACGTGACTTTACCGAAAAAAAACCTAAGAATATGATTCCTTGCAGTCACGAAAGCTTCAAATCTAGAATCAACGAAGTGGCTTTGTCGTGTGCAAATTTATAC